GGGACATACGACATACGACGCAGTATCCTCCACCTTTACGACTACTCTTTACGAGGGAATAAATTTAGTCCCACTGAAATGATCGGTATCAGAGTATCCTCTGGCGCCGCGAACAGCTCGCAACCCACAAAATAACAACAAATAAAAAACCGTGTTAATAAATTCGGTTGTAAAATTTAAGATCGTCATGCATGCACACTAAAACTTTTGTCATAGCCGTAACTTGCTTTTTTTTAACCAAACACCAGGTGGTAATAATAATCCTTACTTAGCTTTTTATTTTCTTGCTAAATTCCGAGGTTTTATCACTCCTTTAATACCAATTACAATTAATCCACTATTTAAAATTTTTTTTTACAACTTCCTATTTACTAAATTAATTATTACTAACTATAAATAAATAAAATTTCGCTTTATTAAATAATGACTTTTGTTAAATTGCTCAGTACTTTTTTAACTATTGACGTTTTTAAAGATATAAGCTCATCCCTATGTTACACTCATCAAGAGCTTTCATTTGAGTACCCACATGCATTTTGATATATTTTTCATATATACATGATACATATAAATATGTGAAAAATTGATGTGGGTACTTAAATGAAAGGTCTTGATGAGTGTAACATCAGGATGAGCTTATATCTTTAAAAATATCAATAGTTCACGAGATACAAGGTCATTCCTATAGATATAGAGTATTTTCGAATGCAGCCTAAATTCTTATCATCATAAATTGACTATCAGTGAGAATGATATGAAACCATGAAAAAGCACAATTCCAGGTCAAGACTTTTCCAACGATACCAAATTTAGCCATAAAAACCCATTTTATCACATAAATACACTGGCCAAAAATTTTTGCTTTTTCTCTTAATAATATAGATTATTATTGTTAGATATTTATTTAATTACCGGGTAAGAATAAAAAAGGAAATCGATTTCTCAATGATTAAAATGCATCAGATCGAGTCCAGCAATAAAAAAAAGTCGCCCTTGAACCACTTAAGTATCCCGGGACCGAAAAATATTAGTATTCACGAAGGAAAAGCATATCATACGTATATAATCAAATCATTTGGTATAGTAAGTACTATTGTACATTTAATTCAATAAGATAATTGTGTAACCTAGCACGCAATCGAAATAATCGCGAATCGAGATCACGTTACGCATTCATCAAGTCCATCTTCTGTTTCTGCAATCCGAATATGTTGTAGCTGGTAGTTAATATAAAAAGTAAAACTTATTCCCATTGCATATTACACATTAAAGATTACACATTACACACTAGACGTTTGACATAGAAACTTGTGAATCTGTTTCTGTGGCAAAGTAAACTCTTAAGAATTGCAATAGGGTGAAAAAAAGGCTAAATAAATAGAGAACTAATCGCCCGTTGTATCGTACTAGAAAAATAGTTTTTATATTGCAAGTAGGCAGAGTACGCACATAATTGACCGTAGATTCTTGCCATTGCCGGCGTGACTTTATCTTTGAGTGGATCTATCGCACACGCGGCGAGTCAAATGTATCTATATAAATGGATATATAAGTATGAGTGTAAAGAGCAGAGCTCGGAAACAAACCGGCAAGTGTTTTATTAAAGCTCTCGCTCGTAAGAATAATCCATCTCTTATTGTCAATCTTTTATGTATTGCACCAACTAGTAAACTATTAAATAATTTGCATAAGAAATTTGCATGTGTGGTGCGTTTACGCATCCGTAAATCCGATCGGGACTCGAGAATCCATTTATACGTCCATTCATACACTTATCTAAATATTTATTATAACGTTAATTTAAATAAATCGAGTCTTCTTCTTTAGCTTTAGCTTCTGGTCTACTCTCGGATTTAAAATCTAATGGATAGGATAGGACGATCTCGAGAAACTGATGCGAGCAAATCGTTCCAGACAAATTCTCTCCTACCGTATCGGTAGCCAAGGATACACGCCACCGGCAAAATAAAAAATAAACGTGGTAAAAAATAGTGACTTACGATCCTGCTGGAGTGTCTTGCCATAAAACGACTTGGACGGAAACTCTCTTTACTTTTCAGTATGCTCTATCTCGACTCGCCAGTCCGGCAGCTTAACTTGAGAGTTTAGATCGCTGAGTTGTGATCTCTCAAGTCCACGGAAAACGATTTATATATATGACCATTCAACACACATATATATACTCAATACTCAATCCCTTTCACAAACTCACTCGATTTTAGTTTTTTTTTAAATTCAATTATATTTTATAAATTACTATTTCATTGATTTGCATAAAAAATAATTTTTTTCTTTTTAAAAAACCCCAGGTGTTACCTCACCCCAAGTTCCCCGAATAAAACAAACAAAAACAAGTGACGCAATTCTCCGGAAAAAAAATATTTAAGAGATTAGTCACGGTCCAGAGCATGAGCAAGAAAGTTAATAGTTGAATTAGTTGGAAATTGAGTTAAAAAAAAATTAGTGAAGGAAATGATCTTGATTCGACATTATTATGTAAATTTTAGATTATATATTTGTCAGAGTCACGGTGATTCACACTAATGAGACGCTTAGCGTTAATTAATTATCTCAGAACGTTAAAAGTCCCCGGCGGAATTAAAGCCGGTATAAAATATGTAATATATGGGTCATTTGTTAGCCGAGTCATGTTCCGAGGAATGCGATCCTACGAGGAAGGAAACGATCTCGATTTCGTAGAAGGAGATCAACCGGCGTCCAGTATTGGTGACTCATCGTCAGCATCATCATCGTCGTCTTAAAGATCATGATTAATTGAGTGAAAAGTTTTATTTATCAAATCGATCAATGACAACCCGTCAAACTCGATCGATAAATAATAACATTGTTGATTTTATTTTCTCCTTAAATGAATTAGCATAGCAGGTGACTCCGGAAGAGCGTGTCCTGGCAGGTGGGTGTGGGAACTTGTACTCTTATTCGGTCTCTGGTTGACTAAAGGTCAGCAGAGGCGACACACGAGCAGGATGAGACGCAATTCAGATGCGGTACAGACGACCACACTGAGGCTGAATATGAGTATGAGTGCATAGCACGAGCTACAGACTGCTCGAGCGTAGCCGGCAACTGCATGGCACGGCTCTCGGCAAACGTCTGGACAGTACAGAGTGCAGGCCATTTCACATTCCCACGTCCTTAATATAGATTGTTGATACGCGGAGTAGTGTAGAATATAATATAACACAGTAAGAGTGCACTCACACGGACACTCAACCTCGGAACTCGACTCGGGACAGTCATGACTGCTTAGAGCCAGCCTATTCCAACAAAAGTTGCTATTATATGTTATTATTCAAGTGATGAGTCTAGTCGGTCAATAACGTAAATGATCCTTTGCGAATTTTAGTGCCTGGAAAATAATTTTGTCCGGGAAAGTCTATATTACTAAGAGGATAAGCAAAATTTTGTGGCCAGTGTATTTATATAATAAAATGGGTTTTTATCGTTAAATTTGGTACGGTTGGAAAAGTTTTGACCTGGAATTGTGCCTTTTCATGGTTTCATATCATTCTCACTGATAGTCAATTTATGATGATAAGAATTTAGGCTGCATTCGAAAATGCTCTATCTCTAGATACATAATTAAGAAATGACCTTGTATCTTGTGAACTATTGACATTTTTAAAGATATAAGCTCATCCCGATGTTACACTCATCAAGATCTTTCATTTAAGTACCCACATCAATTTTTCACATATTTATATGTATCATGTATATATGAAAAATATATCAAAATGCATGTGGGTACTTAAATGAAAGCTCTTGATGAGTGTAACATCGGGATGAGCTTATATCTTTAAAAACTTCAATAGTTAAAAAGTACAGTGCAATTTAACAAGAGTCATTATTTAATAAAGCAAAATTTTATTTATTTTTAGTTCACAAGTCACGGCAGTCACATAGTGACTGCAAGGCTGCTAGTCTTGAATTAATCGTTTAAATAATTCGAAACAGTTATTCAATGGTCTTGAATAGAGCGCGTCTTTCCGGATTCCAGAATAAATAAATCCATTTTTATCTGGATAGGATTAAATAAAATACATTTGTACCTGTTATTTGCTTGAGCGGTTTTTCCCGAGCACGTTTGCGGCAACAAATCGGTCCGGGATTCCGGGCGTGCCAGCTGATTTTAGATAATCCTCGGTTGTATATTGTAGAGTGAGGTTGTCCGCGTGCGACGGATTTGTCGCACGCGACCCCTAAATGGCGTGTAGTGGAGCTCGCCGTTTAGAGAACCCGCAACAACGTGTTCTGCCACTGCATGGACACTCCGGCAAATAAGACAAAAACTAGTGAAATCCCCTAAGAGATTGATCTAGCTGCTACCTCGAGTAACTTTGCTTACCATATACCATTTACCTCTTAGCAGGTAGCTCTGATGGTTAAGTACAACTCCAACTATTAGGTATTACATAAAAGTACGCGCGAATCCCGTTGTAAGCGATTACTGCCATCGAATAAAACAAATCTGGATTAAATAGAGGTATTTACCTCTGTTTTATTTTAATCGATTTATCACTTACTTTTAAATAATTCTTACCGCATTCGCGACCAATTCCCATACAAGTACATCGACAAATTGGATTAAAATTTTTCTACAACTATGTACTGTCTCTAAACTTAAAACGCCAATCGACGGCTTTCTACAAAGACTGACATAATTGTATCTCCGGTCTGTGATAATAAATTAGTTCTCGATACTTTTTGTAAGAGCAGAGAATTCAGTTTATATTATATTATATTATATTATATGCATTAAGATCCTTCGGTTATTCTCTGGCGTGGCCTATCCGGGGTATTCTCGTATATCGTACATCGTATATCCCCTTTGACTGGGTTTTATCGTCGGCCGACAAGCGTTTAACGTTTTACGATCGACCACGCCGCACAATATACAATATACAATATACGGGCTGAAGAGCAAAACCCCAAAGCATCGAGCTCTCTTGTGATTCTGCTCTCCTACTCGCTGATGTCTGATGTCTGAAGCGCATCACGCTAATTCTCGTGACGCGCGTAACATTTTAGCTTGACGTTTAATCCAGAGATACACTCGTATAATAAACCGCAGCTTTAAATCCAAAACTAACAGCTTGCAATTAATCATTTTTACTTTTTGTATTTTCATTGACATCTTAATTAGTCAACTGAATTTCAAAATTTTCTAACTTTACGTATCTTTGTCTAAGTCATTTTTTAAAAAAATCTTCAGTTAATTTTTTCTGTAAATTTTTTAAAAAAATGATTGATAATTAATCATAAAACAGTAAGATTATTTTAAAAAGTGGTAAATATTCACAAGTGGGGTCAACTATTTTAATTTTCATTTTTTTGAACGAAATTTCTATTTGACTATATTGATATATGTTTTTTTAACAATACATGAAAAAATGAATTTAAAAAAAAATGATTATCACAATTTTAACAAATTTATAAAAAAACTTTATAAATTTTTTAGAAAATGTGATATTCATCTTTTCTTTATCTAAATTTTTTGTATTTATGAACTTTTCAAAAAAAAATATATCAAAAACAAAAAAAAAAGCCAAAATTTTTTTCACCTTTTGAAGGCAAAAAAGCTATCGAAATTTTTATTTTTTCCTTTCACGGCATTTTTTTGTCATAACTGCGCCGTAAAAACAAGCAGAATAAAAAAAAATTTGAACATATTAATTTTTCACCTACTTATAGCCCAAAATTGGGGGGACTCCACTTGTAAATAATTACCTAAAAAATTTCTGAACCTATATCAAAAAATCATCAAACTAGAAATTTTTCTAGAGCAAAAATCTTGAAACAAAAAAATTATTCAAAAGAATAACCTAAATTTAAAATAAAAATACTAATAATAAAATTAATTTTTGTTACAGTCGTTCTTCGGACGAACATACAACAACCTAAGCAGCATCTCCGAGTGCAAGAACGGCGGAGTGTGTGTAATAAACAAAAAAAATCGAACTGCCTGCAAAGCCTGTCGTTTAAGAAAATGCTTGCTGGTAGGAATGTCAAAATCGGGATCAAGATACGGCAGGCGTTCCAACTGGTTCAAGATCCACTGTCTTTTACAAGAGCAGACGCACAACCACGCATCAGCGTCCCCCTTTCCCGCTGGCTACATGTCAAGCTTCATGCCATCGCAGAATCCAGTTGACGGAAGCTTGAAAGAGAAGGAAATCGCCTCGGCCAACGAAGAAAACCTCAACATGCAAAGGCACCTGTTCCAGCTGGCGATGATCAACAAAGAGTTCGATAGGACCAAGTCCCCGCACCCAGACGACATTGCGCTCCAGCAGAGACTGAGAATGCTCTCCTGGCAGCGGGACCAAGAGCGACTGACCCACCAGCAGCAGCATCAGGGCCCAGGGACTCCCCCCCGTGAAACCTCGCCGCCTTCTGGCTACAACTACAAAACGTCCGCGGTGGCTCCCTGCTTGGTGTACCCCAAGGACACGAGTCCTCCGGGAGTCTTCCGGCCCTTCTCCTTCAAGAGGGCAGCGGACACCCCCAGCGACAGTGGCGCCTCCTCGATAGACGGCGAGTCCTGCAGCGAGTCCGACTACTACAAAAATCCCTCTCCGGTCAAGTCCATTCCGACTGTCGCTGCCTTCCCTCGACACCCGCTGCAACTAGTCTACTCAAGCGGGAGCTTCGTTACGACTCCCGTCGCCTCTCAACCTTCTCCTCGCGGCGGTGACCTCAACCTCGTCAGCCCCAGTCCTGGTGGCGTCGCCGTAGAACAGGACCAGCCGATTGATCTTAGTGTTAAGTGCTCCAGGAGCTCACCCCGGCCTGTGGAGTCCCCCGTTGAACACCTCCAGGTGGACGACCACCCCGAGACCAGCCATAACGCCGGGGAGGAAACTGCGACGAAGGGAAAACCCTTGGACTTGACGCTTGCTGTTAAGAGGCCAGAACTTTCTCTTTCGTTGTAAATTCATTGTTGAGGGTTTTAATTGTTTTTATTATTTTTAAACAATGGTTTTACGAGTGAGGCTGGACCCTACATGCAGGTCGTGGCTCATAAATAACTGTGTTCAATCTGTAAATATATATACATACATTTTTATATATATATATATATATATATATATATATATATATATATTTTTATGCAGACAATTAATTTATTTTAATAGTTAGCAGATTTTTATTATTACTATTTTAATAACTATTATTATTATTATTATTATTGTCATTATTATTCCTATTATTATTATTATTATTATTATTTTATTATTTTAATGGATATGGATTTTTTTTTCATTTATGTGAGAAGTCCGATGTCAAGTGTATTAATGGCCAGTAGGTGACTTAATATTAAAATAATTTTAATTAATTAATTAGTATTTAAATTATAAATAATATTGAGAAAAAAAATTTTATTACAATTTTTGTATTGAAATTTTTTTTTTAATGAAAAACTAGCAGATCAATAATTTGATTTTTTGAAGAAAGTTTTACTCATTATTTGATATTTTTGGTAATTACTTGCAAGTGGAGTCCACCATTTTAATTTTCATTTATTTAAACCAAGTTTCTATTTAATTTTATTGATATATTTTTTTTTGAAAAATACATAAAAAATAAACGATTAAAAAAAAAAAGTTGATTATCACAATTTTAACAAATTTTTTAAAAAATTTTGATATTCAACTTTTTTTTTTTTTAATTGTTCGCTTTTTATGTACTTTTTAAAAAAAAATATATCAAAAACATCAAAAAAAGATAAAATAGAAATTTTATCCAAAAACATTAGAGCCAAAATTTTTTCTAACTTTTGAAGGCAAAAAAAGCTATCGAAATCTTTATTTTTTTCTTTCACGATATTATTTATCATAAATGCACCGTTAAAACAAGTAGAATAAAAAAAAATTACAAAATGTTATTTTTTCACCTAGATTTGGCCAAAAATAGGGTAGTCCCCACTTGTAAATAATTACCATATTTTTAAATACCTTGAATGTCTGCTACTTTCTTAAGTTAGACATAAGTTTTAGCGTAAATTGTCAATTTATAAAAATAAAAAAAAAAAGTAAATAAAATATCAAGTATATTTTAAAATTATTCTGGTAATTGTGTAATTACGCTTTTTCCTATTTTTGAAGTTGCAAAAAAACAAAGTTCAAAAATAGAATTATATAGTTACCAAACGAATAATAAATTTGATTAAAAATTAGCCTGTAACTTTTAAATTATTAATAATAATAATAAATATTGTTAAAAATAAAAAGGTGTAAATAAATGATAAAGTTTTTACATAACTGTAAATAGGTGATTTGAGAGGCCAGTAAAACATTTAAAGAAATAATAATAAATATTTTTCATAATGTATTTACATAATCTGAGTTAATTAACCTCCCGACACAATTAATTATAATTATAATTACAATAAATAATCCAATACCAAAACAAAGACCGTATAATCTAACCAAAAAAAAAAGTAATATAAATGTTGTGCGATTAAGTAACGACTAACGACTAACGGCGATGTTTATGCGTTGAATTTATGGCCGCGGTTAATCCTAAATCCTTCAGGTTGGTAAGTTCTCAGCCGGCGGAGTAGTAATACGCACACCAGAGCGCATAAGAAAAGAAAGTAAAAGGTAAAAAGGTTCTATTCGAGTTTGGTTAAAAGTTTAAGTAAATGGCTTGAGGATCTTTCTGCTGAGCTCTCTTCAGGAGGAGAGAAGAACTACACGCGGAATCACTTAGCTGGCATATAAATCACCCGTGAAAAGCTCAAACAGCAGCAGCAGCAGCAGCAGCAGCAGCAGCAACAACTGCAGAAGAGCCAGACATTCTGGAGGTATTACCGTGGGCGAAATTCAATGTACACCTAATGTTCCTCACAAACAAAGACTATCACTGGCGTGTACTTGTAAGCTATCGAGTTTATGCGTCTGCGTTGTAACACCCGGCAACAAGTTGTACAACTTTGCACTTAACTCAACTTCGGTGAGATGAGGATGTTCGATTCTGCTCCTGCTGCCGATACAAATCCAATATACACATTAAATGTTGATTTTATAGATTGTTGTTGGTGTTCAGAGCATAGATAAATATTGATGGGTTATTGTGGTACTTTAGGTAAGACGTGTGTAAGGATAAAAGTTGTAAAATGAAATAGTAGTTTATGTGGATGCTATTGAAGAGTAGGTTGCTATTTGTTTACTGGATGGAGAGTGGGTACCATCAATCAATTCCACCAGGAAGCAGCGATTGCTAAATCATCGAGTGGCTCTAAGGATCGCGAATAGCAAACAGCGAATCGCAAATCAAGGATCGTGACGTTTGACCTTGTCGGGTCGCGGCATTCTTTCCGGTTTTCTGATAATAATCATCAGGATGATGATGATGATGATGCTGCTCAGGTGATCAATTGCTAAATTACTCATTCATTGCGTCGGGAAAACAAACAAATAACGTGTTATTTATTTATTTATGGTTATTATTCTTGTTTGACTTCTTCATTTGTCGGGTTTATGTATGCAGTGATCTTTTCTTTAATGTCCAGTTATTTTATTTTATTTTTTATTCAATTTCTATCAATTGAAAGTAATTATTAATAAATAAATAAATTTTGAAAGCAATTGAGAGATTTATATTAAGTTTATGAATAAATTTTATTTTAAGGAGATCTAAGTGTAAAGAATGTCTATAAAAAAATGATATGCAGAAGTACATTTGTGATGCATCTTAAAATTAATTTTTAAATTAATTGATAACATTTTTGAGGAAACTTCCGAAAAATTTACTCATTAAATAATTATTAACATTTATTTAACTAATAAATGATATAGCACTCCGAATTACCGGTATACACTTGATAACACCGCAAGAGTTCCCTAACCATAAAATTTATTTATGTTTACTGTCTAACTAAAATGACTAAGATCTTCTAGCATTTAAAAAACCGCGGTCACTTATGCGCCGAGTAACTGCGCAAGCGGTGTTGCCAAGTCAAATACAAGACTTTAAAGAACGGAAGTTCCTTGTGATTTTCCATAAAAAATATAAAATATCTCCGTAATACGTTCGGAAACCTGCTTTCTTATTGTTTTAATTGAAAGCTTACTATTTTTTCAATCAAATTCAATGAAAATAAAATTTTTTTTAAATCGTTAATTGCATTAAATTCATAACCAAATACACGGCTAGTGGATTCTCCATTTACCTACATGTAAAAATAACAATTTTTAAACCTAATTATTTCATTAAATATCCCGGAAACCTACTAGTTTTTAATTTTCTTTATTAATTATTAGGCTACGTAGATTAAATTTACAAATTTTTAGGAAGGTTTAAAAATTAGACTACTTCGCGTACATCTCCTTAATAAAAAATACGAAAAAGGCGGTAATAAATAAAAGCAATTATTAACACCCTTGAGTAAAAATAAATGAATAAATAAAATGCACGCGTGCGTGCAATAATAGTTAATGGATATACACATGTTGTCGTGAGTAGGCTCCATGTAGTGTAACATAAACATAAAGAGGAACAAATAAAATATAAAATATAAAATAGCAGTGGCCAGCGGCTTATAAGCCTCAGTTTGTTATTGCGACTGGTTACACACCACCGGTACGGGCAATAAGTAATCGTTAAAGCCTGTCATGACTCTATGCATGAGTTAGGCAACGCGAAACGCTACTGTGTCTCTTAACTTAAATCTATAATACAACTACAAATAGAAATATAAATTAAGAAAGCAACCACCGAGTAAGTGTATTCATTATTGGACATATCAATAAATAAATAAATAAGTCGCATGTAATTGATCCAAAAATGTCTTAATTTCTCTCGACAAGCTCGATTTATTTATTGCCAATTAAAGTCGAGTTTATCATTATTTTTTGCTGAGAGGATTTTTTAAGATACAAAAAGGCGGAAAGGCGAGTAGAGGCACGTGGGGCGGAGAAAAATGAGTAAGGGCAGAAAGGGGATGTCGATTAAGCTATGCAATCGCCAATTATCGGCAATTTGATCTGGTTATAACTCAATTTAAAGTAATTGGGCCGCGCTGGCACGACTTTACTTTACTTAAGATCTTCTCTTGGCCTCAGACTCATGCGCTGCATCATTGGATCACCGTGCTCGCTTAGTAAGCTCGCTCTTGACTTCATGTGTGTGTATGTGTGCGTGGTACTTGTTTGCTCGCGCTTACCAACAGTCCAAGTCTTTTAGCGCTAAGGTGGCCCATAAATTCACGATCGACAATCTGACAATCTTTCTAGACACTGCACACTCATTTTCATTATTAGTTCGTTTAATTTAATACAATATTGATTATTTTCCAATCAGAATTGCTAAAAGAAAATAAAATATTGAATTTTTGTAGCGATAATTTACTGAAACTTATTTTTTTAATATAATTTAATTGTGAAATAAAATTATTTAAAGTTTTTAAAGTTTTATTTAAAAGATTTTACTGAGTTTTTTGAAGTTATAGATAAAAAAAATTAATTTTATAAGATAGAAAAAATTTTGAATCAATAAAAATTTCTTAGCTTAAGAATTTATCTATCAAAATTATTTTTTTGGTTCAAGAATTAAAAAAAAATTTTTAACTTGCCGCTAAGAAAATTGAAAATTTTCAAAAATCGGGAAGTTATTGGTTTCACCCCGTTTTGTGAAAATCAAGTTTTCATCAGATCTCGACGTTTTAAGATCACAGGAAGCTTCCCTGGCTATTCCCGCGATGGTGTCCGTGCGGCTGTGTGTGTATGTGTGTATGTATGTAAACCTCTTATAACTTTTGAACGGCTCAGCCGATCGGATCGAAATAGGTAGCGATCCATAGAGTATCATTGCCATTAAATTTTGTGAAAATTTGAATCGATTCGGTTCGCTAGATTTTGAGAAATCTCAAAATTAAAATTTTCATAAAATCGATTTTTTGGAATAACTTCTAAACGGCTCGACCGATCAA